CGGCTGTAAAATTACTGTGCACGAATGGCCGCTCCCTGGTGAAACCATGTCAGTTGGACGTTCCACTGTGAGACCATGTCAGTTGGGCGCACGGTGCCGGGTAATGGCAGCTGGACATGTTGTGCTGGAACCACGTCACTTTGACAGACTGTCGTGAAACTATGACAGCATGTGGAAAGGCCCTGCCGGTTTGGAGACACTGTGCTGTTCGGGGAGACGGAGATGCCGTGCCGTGTCGCCCGGACAGGCTGACTGCCGCTGATAGGCGGCCCACAGTTGGATCGCCCGCTGAAGATCGCACCAGTTAGGCCCGACAGACGTCACGCTCGCGAGGTTCGTGACGCGGCTCACATCGGTGATATTGGCGCACCGGGCAGCGCGGCTCAGTGAAGACGGGGCACGTCCGGTAGCATGAGGCTTAAATCGTATTCATCAGGCAGTCAACATGCACGGCTCGAAAATCCCCAAAATGCCTAAGCAGCAGCATACCTAATGTTGATACATAATTGCACCCTGACAGACTTCTAGCATTAGATAAATTCCAACAGTCAATTTAAAACCGCATTTGGATCAAATCGTAAAAAATGCCCACCAACCACTCATCAATCCCCCTCTTTCGGCAGAGCCGTGACGGGTGTCCGTTTCGCAAGTTTCACGTGCGGATCGGAGACGGTTGTTTCGTCGGCTCCTGTCTCCGTTATCGATCGGTCAGAGGGTGGATGAGTGGCGACTTGACCTCTCCGCCGCTCCACGCATAATTGTTCGCCGCGACCGCGCACTTCCTTCGGCCCATTAATAATGGATTCCAATATGTCGTCACGATGTGCGCCACTCTCTCCAATCTCGGCCAGATCTTGACGCGGCGCGCGTGACGAACTAGCGTCTGCCCTCCGACTAAAGATACCAATAAAGCGGACCCTAATGGCGGCTGGCAGCGGTCGCCGAAGGTTAGGCCCGGCAGCCTTGGGCCGAGGCGCGAGCGGCGGCAGCTGGGGTTCGGCCCATGGCGTGTCCGGCCGGCTGCTTCAGCCGCGGGGCCTGCGGTGGACCATCGGAGGTCCGGGGACCGCGACGGACCACTCGGAGGTCAGGTGACCGCGACGGACCACTCGGAGGTCAGGTGACCGCGACGGACCACTCGGAGGTCAGATGACCGCGGCGGACCACTCGGAGGTCCGGGGACCGCGGCAGGCCCTCCACCGGCGCAGTGATAGCCACCGGACAGCGGCCAACAGGGAATGACAGTGCCGAGAGCCGCTCGGCTGGTAAAGGCCCCAGCCCTCAGTAACACTACCCCAGTGGACAAGAAGCAACCAAGAAGAGGCTAAACAAGCTCAGATTAATCCCCAATCCACCTCGAGGCCCTGTGTTGATGCGTGCTCCTCACCTTGGACCAGTGCGGGCTGAGCTCTGCCGCCTTCAGGCCGTCCTGGTGCGCCGCCTGCAGCTGACCGAGCTTCACGCGCGCCGCCGACCGGTTGGAGAAGAGCACGTGGTTGGCCGGGTCCAGCGAGATGGCCTCCGAGTAGAGGCGCACGGCCGACTCGAACTCGCCCGCCTGACAGGCCGTGTTGGCCAGGCGCACCTTCTCCAGGAACAGGGCGCGGCTGGTGGACGACAGCTCCACGTCGCTGCCGAGCTCCACCTGACGGAGACACGGGGGCAGTCAGACGGAGCGTATATACAACAGGTCCCGGCGGCACGTTCAGTGGCTCTGAGAGGGACAGAGAGTCAGACGGAGCGTTCAACAGGTCCCGGCGGCAGGTTCAGTGGCTCTGAGAGGGACAGAGAGTCAGACGGAGCGTACAACAGGTCCGGACGGCAGGTTCAGTGGCTCTGAGAGGGACAGAGAGTCAGACGGAGCGTACAACAGGTCCGGACGGCAGGTTCAGTGGCTCTGAGAGGGACAGAGAGTCAGACGGAGCGTTCAACAGGTCCCGGCGGCAGGTTCAGTGGCTCTGAGAGGGAAACAGTGAGAGTCAGACGGCACAGATTTCAACAGCTCCGGGAGGCAGGTTCAGCAGCTCTGACAGTGAGACAGGGGACGTCAGACGGCACACAGACGGCACACAGACGGCATGTCCAACAGCTCCGGGCTTCACCCCCAGCAGCATAGAGATACGTCATAGAACGGGCTGCATGATAACCGCCCAGCAGCCCTGGGGGCTTCCGGCTTGGCTTATACGGGCTGGAAGGCATCGAGAGGTCGAAAAAACGAATGCACCGACTAGTCGCAGACTCAGATGTCAGGCCCTCGGAAGTGTCACTATCAAACTGAAGCTGGAACGGGTGACAACGGCAGACAGACAGAAAGACAGAAACAGGGGCTGCGTGACAGCGACATTTACAGCATGCCGGCAAACTAACACTGCTGTGAGAGGTACTGGATCACGATTCATCTCACGGGTCAGGGATCGGAGGTCATGACTACGAGTCATTGGTCACGGATCACGTCCTTACGAAGGGAAGGGTGAAGACACTTACCGGTATTGACTGGCTCTCAATGAATCACTGCCTGAGGATACCAGCGACGCCAGAGTGGGCTTCAACCTATTTACTCCGAGAATTGCGTTGTCAATGCTGCTGCATGGGAAGGCAGAGGCTCATTTAGGGGCACCCTGCATCAGACAATGCTGCCTATCGTGCGCTTTTCTCAGCTATGCGCATACACGCTGTCCCATTGGCGACGCGTGTAAAAAGATGAGAGCATCGGTCACAGCCCAAACTGTGAGGAGGAGGGGAGATATTTGTTAGCGACAAGAGCGCAGAGCTGAGGGGCCGAGTTTCCCCTGCACGGCCCCTTATGGCAGGGTGACGTCGCGTTCGTGTGTATCAGCGCCCGGTCTCTGCCGTGACCGGGCTGCAGCTGATGTACCGACCGTCCGCCGGCGCCGACCACCGAGTCACCTTGGGCCGGCGTCGGCAGTATCATTACCCATAACCCCGTTCACGGAACTTATTATCGCCACCGCGTCTGGCCTGCTCGGCTACGTGACCGGTGTCGGCGTGACGCCACACCGCCTGCCTGCCGTTCGACGGCCGGAACCGAACCGACCGGCACCCACCTCCTGGTCGATGGCGGAAAACTTGACGGCACGGCGTATTTTCTCCATGGCTGTGTCTCGTCCGTTCACAGAGGCCACATCCCGGCTGCAGCCAGCCTGATCACCGCTGCACCGGTGCACTCCACACAGACGGGCCGGGCCGCCCTGCACTGCCCTGCACTGCCATGCACTGCAGAACGGCGCTCCGGCCGGCCGGCCGACACCGCCGCCGGCCGGCACCGTCTCCAATTACGAAACGCCGACACCTGGCGGACCGTCCGCCAAGCACGGAACGGCCGCCATGGACTGACGGCTCGTGTTCGCTGAGGCTTCGGTCATGCTTACCGAAGGAGAAGCGATCAGACGACGGAAGTGTGACGATGGAGGACCAGTCGCAGGTAACCTTATCTACAGCAGACAGGTATTGAGCACCCGGCGGCTACCTCTAAACGACGGAAGTTGTGACAATGCCATATTAATGGTTCGATCGTATGACTAATGGGGGTCGTCATACCATTTATCGTCGGGCCTAGAGGCTAGGGGAAGTTGGGGCAATGCCGGAGTTGGGGCAAAGCCGAAATTCGAGATATTTCTAAAACCGTACGACATGGATGCCACGTCTCAGTGATGCTCTGAAGCTTAAGTGACTACAATTATCGCATGTTTGTTACGAGTCGTCATTTGGAATACTACGGCTGTGAGGGCGCCAAAAGCGTTTTCAAGGTACGTTTCCCTTGTACTACATGCGCCTTTGAAGCTGCATTTCTTACACATTATGCTACCGTTTGTCTGGCCAATTCGGTCAAGTAATCTTCAGCATGTCTTTGCATAAGTGTGCTGCCTATTTGAAATTTATACAGCACGTTTAAAAGTTATGGGCCTGCAAATGAAAGTATGGCTGGCTGGGGTAATGCCGAAAACGTGCAATTACGCACGTTAAAGCACGCTACGTGGACTTTACTGCTGTAGAATAGCAACGCGTATTTTTAGTCATACAAATTACACTTTCAGCCGGCACAACGGCCTGTTACCTATAAGGAATGATTTACCTGGCATTTTCTTATTATATCACACAATTGTAACTTCCAGTGTGCACCAAGCGTCCTCAAGCTCTTAAAACGCGTGTCAGCTTTGATGAATTTTGGATAAAGTTTGAGATAAATTGGCAAAACATCAATGTCGGCATTCCTCGTACATCATTTATCCCATTTTCGGCTTTTCCCGCAGTCCGGGGCAACGCCGAAAAAGTCAGTTCTTTGATATTTTTAGTTTTTGCGCTTAACGGTATGCGAATTCATCAAATGCGCCTGGTATGTTTGAAAGACAAAAGACTGGCCTCTCGAATGACGCCAACAAGAATAGCTTATGTTGTCTACCTTGCGTGCTACGGGCGTCAGAAAAAAAGTATTCGGCGTTCCCCCAACTTCCCCTACTTTCCAGCTATGAAAAATCCTTCTTCCAATAATGTCACTGAATTATATTTGCATGGGAGAAAAGTTCATATACTTGCTGTAGAGCCAGCAATCCTCTACACTCCGTAGCTAAAGGCCTTTGACCTTTGCTAAAGGCCGGAACCGCAAACTTTTTCTCGAGCTCCAAACTATTCGAACGCTCCCGTTCACAAATCAGCTGCCCCAGCCTACAGCTAGCTGGCAGCTATCAGAGAGTGAGAGAAACGCGCTGGAATGCCGGGAGAAACTGGCTACGGAATTATACCCGGTGCTAATTGGGTCAGAAGCTGGGAGCTCAGCACTACCGGCGCGCCGCTCAGAGCTGGCCGGCGGCGCCCGCTCTCAACTGACGACACCGGCGGGAGGCGGCCGGCCGGCCGAGCCGGGCGTTCGGCAGCCGCACCTCACTGGGACAGCCTCAGCCCGCCCCTTCCCTGCAGATCACGGTCACATACTCTCTGGAGCACGGCCTTCCCTTTCCCTGATCACAGACTCACGATCTCTTCCTGTTTCATAATTCTCCCTCCCGTGGTTCCGTTCAGAGTTTTTACTTCTGCATCACGTCGGGTACAGACAAACTGGATCCCCTTAAAAAGAGGACCATTTTGTGAGATCACAGTACCAGAGGAGTTCACCACCATCACCACCCTGGTTCACAGTGCTCCTCAAACTGGACCCCCACCTCTGGGCCTCTATTTACCGCACAAAGCTCTCGGCATCCATCCCCTAGTTCAAAGGACCTCTCCTTGGACCCCAAGTCACTGCCCTGTACCGTACTTTGCTTTTAGCACCCCTCCGCTGGATCACAGCACCCCTTCCCTAGTTCATGGGACCCTCTCCCTGGATGCCCCAGCGATGGCCCTGTACCGTACTTTGCTTTGAGCATCCCTCCTCTGGATCACAGCACCCCTTCTCTAGCTGAAAGGACCTTTTCTGAGTGCCTCAGCGATGGCCCTGTATCGCACCGGGTTCACCACTGGGTCGGCCGAGCGCGGCGCTCATACCCCACCGTGTCGGAGATAGCGTCACGGCCCGGCCGGTCCTATCTGATCGTGCACGCCGCTCCAGACACGGCACCAGTCCGAAATGAGCTCCACTCATTCTCATGCAACCGTTCCCAGGGTGGCAACTGACGCCCACGTCATCGCTCAGCCTTCAGTCTGCACAGACAAGACCCAGCGCACGGAACGGATGGCTGCTGTCACAATGGCAGTGAAAGCCGAGAACCTTGTAAGCTTGCCATTGTTTATACCAGACCTAAGGTCCCTGTATTCATAAATGACACCTTTGTGTGCATTTTTGAACGGTGCTGAGGCAAGTTCGATGTTTCACTGAAATGCTATGCATATATAATTATATCTCTGTACTCTATAAAGTCAAATGACATCAGGGCTGTCCTTTAGCCAAAGCGGTAATTTCCAAAGAAGCAAACTGAAGAGAAATCGTTTCCATCATGTTTACCAGCAGAGGATGCGCTTATTTTCCGGTGACAAATAGTTGAATCGCTTTCGGCTGGAGGCTAATTTTCTGCCCTAGCATCAGACGTCACCGTTTAATTACATGTAAAACAATCTGGTGGGAATCTGCCGCCACCACTATACCGCACATGGTTCTGGTAATTTTGAACCTGACCCGACTGATATACTCGCATATATGGCACCGCAGTAGGCTTGGTAGATATATCGGGGATTTCTTCACGGAGCCAGGAAGTGCAAATCCTTCAAAAGCCCGCAATCGCTGGGCTGGGACCAGCACATGCGCTAGACTGTTTCTAGAACGGGCAGTTTTTGATCAGGCGCAATGATGTCGATAGCCTGAGAAGTGGCCCCTTAGCACCAACATTAACATCTCTCATGAGAATGACGCGCTGGGTTAAAACATAGAGTTTCACTCAAAAATCTTTGAAAACCGAATTCTCTCTTTTTATGTGGTTAAGTAGAGAATGATATGAATTATATCAGCCCAAAAAAGGTTGCCATTCCTGTCATCAGCAAGCCTCGGCTTTAAAGGAGAGAAAGGCCGCGCTGGCTGAATCAACTAGCAGCAAGCACGCCCTCGTCCCATGTCGGGGTGCAAATTCCTCCCTCTCTTCTATATACATAAAGCACTATGCCAACACGAGATAACAGTCAGGCATGCGATGCGACTGCTGACTTGGCATCAGCCTTCGAGTGGCAACGCCATTAGCATTTCCGATGGGTGCACCAAACCAAAGGCTCTGCACTGGACAAAGACCCTTTTTGTATGTTGAATCGCAAAACTTCGAAATTAAAGGTTATAGCTAGTGCATTTCTGAATAGGTCGACTTTCAAGCATCCAAGTTTGTGGTGAACACTATTGATACGCATCGTTCTGAGCTACAACAATCAATGATCACTGTTCATGAAAGAAATGGCCTGACTCCATGTTTTGCCTGCCCACAATGCAAGTGACCATGCAATAATTCACAGATGCTCTTTGTGCGAATATATTGTCATATTTTGTTTGCTATATCATTAATTTTGTCCAATACGGAGGAAATATCGTTAAAAATTTCTCAAAATGATACCTATCTCAACAGCAGTCACAGAAACAAAGATGCGAACATTCACCTCAATAATCCTAGAAAAAAATAGCTGAGGGACCTTGCTGTTAGAAATTTTCTCCAATCCATTCATCCATTCTAATGTCAGTCACCAATATGAAGAGCGAATTCCAGAGCCACCAGCTGTTGGTCAAGTCAAAAGTCGGCAGCATGCGCACATTAATGAGACATACCAGCACTGATGAAACTCTCCATTGGCATATCACAGTGGAATGTGCAGACAGGCTTAATTCATAGTGACCATGTACGTTCATCTAGCCTTTGGCATGGCCCAAGCTGCTGCGTAGCTGAGGTCAACCACATTTATCATCCTGCTATTGACGAGGGGAGGGGTAGCTTGACGCCCCCCTCCCCACTGACTTTTCACGATAACTCAAGAACTAGCACTGCGACCGCCTTAAAACCCTTCGTAGCTACTCGAACCTAAATGAAAGAGCAAGCTTTCATGCACAGTCGAGCGCTATGCTTGCTGTAAACAAAATCGTGAAATTTCAACAAGTCGATGCCACCCACACGACATCTTTATACCTAAATGCTTAGAACTGTGTGATTTTTACAAAACATGTAGCCTTCCTTGAAAAACAACAATTTGGCCCGGAACTTTCCATCAGAGACCTGTTAATGCGCAAGGTAATAACACCTATCATGTGCCCTTGACGAAGGTAATGAACCCATGTAAAGCTTTCTCATATGCGGACATAATTATCAGTCTTTTGGAAAATCAAAACAAGCCGTTGAAAAGTAGGACAGGATTTAAAGGGACTATCCCACCTTTAACATGGGGTTTGAGTTGAGATAGCCAAGTTTGCGGCGAGGTTCAGAAACCACTATCTATCTAGGTTGTAACCCCCGCGGCCTCTTGGTGTTGAAGAAATTCGTTCCCTTCATTTGAAAATGGGCCTTGTGCAAGGCCCTATCTTCAACATGGAGCGACCGTTAGTGTGACGTCACCTCGTTTAGTCATTCTGATTTAAATGGGTTTGTTCGTTGAAAAATCGCTTAAAACTTGGTCTGAACTTTGTTGTGGTGCCTACAGAGTAAAAAGAATCAGCTTTATGACAGTAATGTGGCCTGGGGAAGGAGGTAATTTTGGGCTGTGACGTCACATATTTGAAAGTTTGTGTTTGGAATATGGGAAGCCTAAGATGTTTAATGAAAAATAAATGCCAGAACCGTGTTCCTGGTCATCCAATCTATAAAGTCGGGCACAATTTAACTGGTTTTAACAACATTTTAGAAGGTGGGATAGTCCCTTTAACGTACAGGTCAGTTCAAGGCTCGGAGACTGCAGGTACGCATTGCCACTAGCACCAGATATGTGCCGGTGCTGCGTTGCAGTCTCCTGCAGCGGTGTATTGGCAGCGTCATGCCGCTAACATCAGCTGAAGTCGCTCCACACCAGATGGCGCTGTCACCGACATAACAAAACATGTTTACATCATCGCCAACATATCTGCAGCATTTGTGCTAAAGTTCTGCATTTGTGCTTAAGTCAAGTGTCTGTCTACTCCACTCTCGCGTGTGAATTTTTCTGCATTGGTCCACACTGGAGATGAATCTGCCATGGGAACACGTCTGACTTTACTCTGCCACTTTACACGTGCCTTTTTCCGGATTACATGTTGTTATTAGTTAACTAACTAGTACAAACGTTCAGTAGTAGCATTGAAACGAAAATTGAAGCGTTCAGAAAATGACTTTTAATTTATGCTCAGTGGTTTTCAGTCCTGACTCCCGAACGGTATCGATTTTTACGAGTAGGGGAGAGAGGTCATATTGCGCCACCTTAAGGATATCGGCCTATTGCGGCTAAAGTTGACTAGCTGTCATGCTTGATGATATCTCAAATTGTACCTCAGTTATTTTGGCATCAAATTACAACTCCTAATTTGTATCACACCCATAAAAATTAACAAGAGAAAAGTTTTCCAACACACCTGCAAAGGGCGCATTTACGGACTATCCCATCAAAAAGCGCCCATGCCTCTCATGTAAAAGCGCCCTATTAAAAACAACGGTTTGCCACCTAAGTAGCCTATTTGAACGTGTCAGCCCATTACCCATTTATGCTGTGAAGGCTAAGGTAATGGTAAGGTGAGCGCTCTAATAATCAAAGTGTTCAATGAAATGTGTCCCAACCACCAGATGCTGTTTCTCTGGGTTGAAGAATAGGGCGCGAATAGGGTGGGCGCAATTACGAATGGAACACATTTTTCATGAGCTTCAAATATGGCGAGGACAGCGAAGCCACGGTGGTGATAAACTTTCAAAACTACCATTAAACGAGCAATTAACAATGATTATTACTTGAATCACTATTTCTAAGATAAACCATGACGCTAGCAAAGGTCGAAATAGACTGTTTCGCGTAAGAAAATAGAGGAAATCACAAAAAATGGTCTGCGAGAAAGCTGAGACACCTCACCTGCCCCCGTGGACCGGAATAAGAGCGAGTTATTGGTGGTGAAGTAAATGCACACATTCCAGCATTCATTCGAATCGAATTTTGGACAGGAGGAACGTGTGGCGCATTTAAGAACATGGCGCAATATGACCTCTCTCCCCTACCTACCTACACCCAATAACTTAAAATAGATAACCACCACCATATAAGTTTGAAATAGCCATAGCTCTACATATAAGAACCCGCTTCACCTGGTCGAGCGCATAAAGCTAGAAAGCACCAAACACCATTCGTGTCTATTCCAACCTAGTGGTCTCCAGGCCCCCACCGACGATGTGCGGATTCAGTGCAGCACAATATTTATGCCCTGCAGGCGCAGTCTGAAATGATAGACCATATAATCATGTCACTCTGTCTTTTGAGAGATTCTGTATGTGACTTGTGAGGTTGAAGTGTCACACCGCCAACGTTTAGCGTCTGAGCAAGGCCCTTAAACTACCGGCTGAGTCCGGCGTCGATTATTATTACTCGACTGTGCTTGAGGTCGACTCCCGTGACTATGCATACCAGCTAGTGCTGAATTGAATGATACTTGGAATTAATTGTCAACTTATAGAGTAAGTTTCGTGCCCTGATGTTGGCGGTACACCGTCACATCTACGCGAGCTCGACGTCAGCAGACTCGGACTGCTGTCACATGGTGCACGACGGTCACGTGCCAGATGACAGCACATGACAGCGCACGTGTCGTGTTTGTACACCCCACACGTGCCCCGAAGCCCCGAGCTGACCGGCTGACAGGAATGCCGGCAGACCGGCCTCGCGCTCTCCGTGGCCTCCGAGAGGCGCGGGAGACGCCGCACTGACCGCCCGGGGTCCCTGACCGGGCGACTGTCTGCACCTCTAAATCGACCCTCAGCGGCCCCAGCTGAGTGAATGACTGGCTTCCAGCCGTCCGTGACCTCGGGATGATATCCTCTCGGAGCACGATCTCGCCATCGTCCTGGGTATACGGCTGTAGAAGTGTTTGTCAGCGAACACAGACCCGCAGCTGGAGCGGTGATCTGTCGGACCAGAGGTGCGCACAGGTGCCTTCACCTCAACCTGTCTGGTCGAGTCGTGACCCCCTTACCTCCGAGTAGTCCTTTTGAGACATGCTGGCGCGCCCACGCTCGCCCTGTTCGGTCACATCACACGATTGGTCACTGTAACAGGTCCGAGTGACAACAAATACCGCAACACACGCCGCCAATCACACACAGGTCACAGCGGTCGCCCTCTCAGACAGGCGCCGCGCCATCTTGGACTCGGTCACTTGCGGCGCAACCCGCCTCGCGCCGGTGCTGCCCTCTGCGCACGGTGGCGTCTCCAATGGGGCGGCACGGAGCCGCGAACAGCCAGGTGAGACTGAGGAATGCGGCGGGGTCGAGCGGAGCGGGAATGGGGCGCCGGCCGCTCGCCCGTTCGTCGGCAGGGAGAGGGAGAGAGGGGAGGGGATAGACAGAGGGTAGAGCCATCACGAGTGTAATGACGCCTGCACGCCACTTGGATTTTGCAGACTGACTGCACCTTTGATCTCGGTAAAATGACCATGTCGAGCTCAATTTAAGGTAGATCCGTTCCAGATTCAACGGGACTATTTACAGTTCGACATTTTGCAACGATAGTTATAATGATGTCCGTGCATATTACCGTTTATCACGACGCATATGAACTGGTATCAGTCCTACTGCATCCAGTATAAACGCAGAGTACCTATGTTGTTACGTTCAAAGACACTTAATTTGATGTTCATGAGTCTACAATTTCTTTTTAAGGATGTAAAAATGCTGTCAGCGTCATTAACCCGCGCCCCACTGGGGTCTGTGTATAACACTGGGGGGAGGGGGGCTATTCATAGCCCCCATCCTAACTCCAAAACTAATCGGCTGATCGTCAAAATTCAAACGGCATCTGATAGCCCCGGAAAAACTGTTGAGACAAACCTAATTTCATTGACCTCGAGGTCACCAATGACGTCACAGGTCAGGTCAAAGTAAAAATTATCGATATTTGGCTTGTTCACTTTTTGGGCTGCTCACTGCTCACTGCTCTTATCAAGTGGACTGGCATGGAGTTTTACGGTAGGTAAGTGTATTGAATGGTGCGCTTGATCGTATGTAAACGTCATGATTTTGACTGAGTTTCACACCATCAAACATGAAGCTGAATAGCTGTTCAGCCTGGCGACTTATATTCTCGCTCAGAAAAGCCGCATTCCGTGCCTTTACATATATCTTTGTGAAATACCAGCACTTCTGAACCAGGAAAATGAAATACAAAACACAAATATTTATCTACTTATCACCGAGCACCCTCATTCTCTGTCCGCGTTGAAAATCGAATGAACATTTTATACGGATCAATGAGAAGTGCTTTTACAGTATTAATGCAACAATAAGTTATTTTTCAAGCAAACATGCAATGTAAATTAAACCAATTAATCTCTTTTCAGGTACTTACCATTAGAGCAAATGGTTCAAAAAAATTGAATAGTTATACAAACCAGGACCGGGTGGACGCCGCAGTTGCCCTCGCCAAGTGGTTTAGCGGAAACTGCCTGCTTATAATTAAGTAGGTATACCTACATATATGGAAACTGCGCCGAAAGCTGGCCGACCATCTACTGCAGATGTGTGTGTGTCGAGGAGCTAAACGCCTCCAAAGCTCCCATTCACCAGAATGAAGTTCTTTATAAACGATTGTTTACTAATTGCTTTATGTCTTATGAGCGATTACTTGTTGTCCTTACTTTATGCTTTCGGTTGGGTGTTCAACTAAGTAACACCCAACCGAATTATGAAAGGGTTATTAAGTTATTATGAACGGGGAGGGAGGCTAGCGGGCCTTGTGATTGTTTTACAGTTTTGATGGTGCTTTTTCATGACTCATGCCATATTATTGCTGCAGTTTGCAGTCCACTGTTTCATGTATTTTTGTTTCATTTGACGTGTCTGTAGTCGTTTGAAATATACATTCAATCAAAGTCAACCACTACTTTCCTTTCGCAATGCTCGATGACCGGTTAACAGAGCATATGAGTGACCGTAACAATTTTGAATATGCATTGTAACCGCACAACCTGCTGAAAGTGCATTGGCTGCTCCTTGCTACTTGATCCAGTGTGAAGCAAAAGCAAGATGAAGTCAAGTCGAGACTTGAGAAAACAGGAGCCGTCACTCGAGCCGAACCCGAGAAAAGCCACAGTAGTTTGCAATGTACAGGGATGTTCACGAAAAACTGACACATTTTAAAACGACTTTGTGAGCATGTGAGAGCTCACGGAGACTTGATTTGCATGCCATTCGAAAGCCTGTTGAAAGAAGTTTTGTATGTGCATACCGCCTTTAGGTAGCATCACACGAGTTTTCAAATAAATAAGAAAGCGTTAAAATGGGGAAATTTGACTTGGCGACAAAACTAAACGGAAAAACAATGAAACTCTCGCGGCTACCATCTGCCACCACGACTGAACCAGTCCACGAATTTGTCTAAAATTTGGCATATTAATGTTTCGATGGATTATATTTTATACTATTGGCATATTGTGGGCAAATTCCTAAGGAATGCCAAAATTGGCAGGCTTGGAAGTGCTGATGCCAGAAACCATGGCCGCATGCTGGCAGTCACTGTGGACTGTGGAATGGTACCGTGCCATCTTTTAACGGCTTCTGTTAGCTACTGTAGCGGAAATGGGTCGACGTCTACACCATTTGGTGGTTCTGGCACGTCAGGGCCACCCCACGTACAGTAACCGCGATCATCGGTCTCACACGAGGACAGCCCAGCCAGCAATTCACTTGGGCTGAACTGTGGCAAACGTCGGGCAGCTTAGGCTTAGCTTGGGTTTGCCCACTTTGATCAAAACCAATGTATTTTTTACTAGGGCTGAGCTTGGGCATGCCGCAGCTATGCCCACGTGCGGATAGCAGTAGCTCAGCCCGACATCTGCCCGCGCATCCAAAACAGGCTTAACTTGGGCGGAGCGCGGGCTGATCAAGCTGGCTGTGTCCTTCGGCTAACTGGAGTAAAGCCGGAGTTTAGCCATACTTGTTCGGCTGTTCGCGCATGCGCAGTTCTGCGCCAATCATGTGCAGCGTTTGTGACAGTCTGCGCGCTGTGCGACGAAACGACACACCGGTGTTGGGGCATTTGGTGGTTGATGTTTGGGCGCGTGTGACAGCGCGAAGAAGGGATAGTGCTCATTGCTCTTATCAAGTGGACTGGCATGGAGTTTTACGGTAGGTAATTGTATTGAATGGTGCGCTTGATCGTATGTAAACCAGGGGCGGATCCAGGAAAACTCCAAGGGGAGGGTCATGAATCGAAGTGGTGCCCCTACCTATACCCAAAATTAAAAACTCAACGGATTTCGTCCACTTCATTTTGGTGGTGCCCCCATTTTCAGTTTTTTTCTTTTTATTTTTTATTTTTAGTCAGTATCTTAACTCTTAGCCACAGGCCCACAACCACATTTACCAATTGTAAGCAAGTATATATGAATGTGTATGTGTATATATGTTGTGGACGCTGAGTAGTGAGTACTTACCAGGAACGTTATCAGGTAAGCAAATCGTTGTCAGTCCGACGAACTTGACCCTGGCGTCTAAAGGGTCTGTCCTTGACACTTCAGGCTTGTCAGGGGCACCAAAGTCCTTCCAGGGACACCACAAATCTGTCAGGGGCACCTACGGCCTTGTAGGGGCGCCACAGGCCCGCCAGGGGCACCACAGGCCTGCCAGGAAGCAGGGGCACCACAGGTCTAGCAAGTATACACGACAGGCCTGTCAGGGGCACAACGGGCCTGTTGGGCCCATGAGCACCCCTAGGGGCAGGGGCACCACAGTCCTTCCAGGGGCACCGCAGGCCTGTGAGGGGCACCAGCGGCCTAGCATGGGCACCAGTCAACACAGGCCTGCCAGGGGCACCACAGACCTGCCAGGGGCACCAGAGGCCTGCCAGGAGCACCACCGACCTCGAAGGGTTACTTGGGCCTGTCAGGGCCCAGGGGCACCACGGGCCTGTCGAGAGGCACTTCAGGCTTTTCAGGGGCACCATAGTCCTCTCCGGGCGCAGGGGTAGCAGGGGCACCAGAGGCCTGCCAGGGGCACTACAGGCCTAGCAAGGGCACCACTGGTCTATCAGGGGCACCACGAGCCTGTCATAGCCAGGCATCTCAGGCTTGTCAAGGCCCAGGGGCACCACAGGTCTGTGAGGGGCACCAGCGACCTAGCAGGGGCACCAGTCAACACAGGTCTGCCAGGGGCGCCACAGACCTGCCAGGGGCACCACATACCTGCCAGGGGCACCAGAGGTCTGCCAGGGGCACCACCGGCCTCGCAGGGGCACCTTGGGCCTGTCAGGGGCACCACGGGCCTGCCGAGGGGCACTTCAGACTTTTCAGGGGCACCAGTCCTCTCCGGGCGCAGGGGTACCAGCGGCCTAGCAAGGGCACCAGAGGCCTGCCAGGGGCACCAGCGGCCTAGCAAGGGCACCAGATGCCTGCCAGGGGCACCACAGGCCTAACAAGGGCACCACGGGCCTGTCAGGGGCACCTCAGGCTTGTCAGGGCCCAGGGACACCACAGTCCTTCCAAGGGCACCGCAAGCCTGTCAGGGGCACCAGAGGCCTGCCAGGGGCACCACAGGCCTAGCAAGGGCACCACTGGCCTGTCAGGGGCACCTCAGGCTTGTCAGGGCCTAGGGGCACCACAGTCCTTCCAGGGGCATTACAAGCCTGTCAGGGGCACCAGAGGCCTAGCAAGGGCACCACAGGCCTGCCATGGACACCACAGGCCTGCCAGGGGCACCACCGCCTTGCAGGGGCGCCACAGGCCTGTCAGGGGTACCACGTACCTGCCGGGGACACTTCAGGCTTGTCAGGGGCGTTACAGTCCTGTCAGGGCCCAGGGGCACCAGGCCCGTGGTGTCCCTGCTAGGCCTGTGGTGCCCCTGGCGGTCCTGTGGTGCCCCTGTCAGGACTGTGATACCCCTGATAGGCCGGTGGTGCCCCTGGCAGGTCTTTGGGCCCCCGGGCCTCAAGGGGGGGGCATGACCCATGTGACCCCCCCTTGGATCCGCCCCTGATGTAAACGTCATTATTTTGACTGAGTTTCACGCCATCAAACATGAAGCTGAATAGCTGTTCAGCCTGGCGACTTATACCCTCGCTCAGAAAAGCCGCATTCCGTGCCTTTATGTATATCTTTGTGAAATACCAGCACTTCTGAACCAGGAAAACGAAATACAAAACACAAATATTTATCTACTTATCACCGAGCACCCTCAT